GATGATTATCGTCTCCTTTATTTATTGGAAAATCGTTTCCCCCACAAAACCCATGCTTTTCAACATTCACTGCCTCGGTGTTTCAAAGGCTGGGGTGCAACTTCTTTAGTAACTGTCAGAATTACATGTGACCTGAAGAGAAAGCTGAGGGCAAGGATCTTCTGCGAGCAGGGACGCCAAGGGCAGCAGGCCTCTCTCCTCTCGGCACTCCCTATTCTGACCTCCAGGCAGCAGCTCCCCATGCTCCGGATTCCTCTGCTCCAGTTGTCACTGTGTGCGAAGTGACTCCAGGGTTCAGGACTATGAGGCAGGGAACCAGTAACAAATGGGTCCTTGAGATAAGCGACGGCTTCTCGGGGTCTCCTTGTGCTTATATGTCTGCACCAGACGATTTCCACATCCTCTTTCATTACTGGGTACCAAGAAAGTGGTTTAGTAAAGGAACGTTTAAGGATTGTGAGGAAAAAAAATGTCTGGAGGATGAGGGATCACTTTAGATTGAGAATGTGGCAGAAAAATTCCCCCAGGGAGGCAGGTGAGGTTAGAAAGGCCAGGAGGGAGAAACAATTAGAACTTGTGTGCCTGCGAGACAGTGCAAGATCTTCTCAGAGGAGAGCAGTGTGGTGGAAAACTCACATGCCATTAATGATCAAGAGCAACTTTTATTTAGTTAGTTCAGTAATGTTAAAAATATTCACATAATTTAACAGTCATCACTACCATCCCTCTCCAGGATAATTTTACCTTCCCAAATAAAAAACTTTGGAGTTATGGCTGTAGCTCCGTGTTAGATTGCTTTCCTGGGATATGCAAGGCCCTGAGTTCAATTCCTAGCAGTGCAAAAAACAAAGAAATCCCACAAGCGTGTATGTGAACCAGTAACTCCTCATTTCTCCCCCACCTGACTTCTGGTCACCTTCATTCTACTCTCTGCTTCTTATTTTGACTGTCTGGGTGCCTTGTAGAAGTGACATCACACAGTATGACTTCCTGTGTCTCAAATCTACTCTTGTCGGACGAGTCAAATTACATTCCCTTCTCCATTGTGTGCATATGCCGCATTTTGTTTAGCCATCTCTCAATGCAGATTTGGATTGTCTCTCTTAGCTGTTCTAAACCATATGGCTGTGCACATATAGTTAACTCTTTGAGAGATTTCCAAGGTTTTTTCCACAGCAGCTGCACCATTTTAATTCCCACTGAGAATGCACAAGGGTTCCTTCCAGATTCTCCATGGAGACAAGTGGCTACATGCCTTCAATCTAAATCAGCTTGCCTGCAGCCCAGACTGCACCTGCGGCAATGACAAAATATTCAGTTATGACAACAGATTGGTACCAGAATATGGAGGGTCTTGAAGCCTGGGAACCTGGAGAGGCAAGAACAAAACAGTACTGTAAGCAGCTTAAGGACCAAAGGATGCATGCGGTGTGAATTGAGACCTGGAGACCAGGACATTGATTACAGCCATCTATCTAGGTTAGAGGTCTGGTTCTAGGTAAGAATCCTGGGTTCTAGGTAAGAAACCTGGGTTCCAAGTAGGAACGCTGGAAAGGTGGGGATGAATCCAGAGAGAGTGAGTGGGATTCTTGAATAAAGAAGGTGTTTTCTGGTGAGAGGTTTGAGTTCTGCATGGACTCAGCCAGCCACTCAACCTTGGTCATCTTAAGTGCACTCATGTGGAGTAGCAGCAGAAAGTGGTACATCCCTTATCTTTTGTCATCTTGATCACCACGGTGACCAAAGCACATAGAGATGGGAAAGAACCAGTTAGCCAGGTGGTCCTTGGCCTAGAAAGGAGCAGGCTTTGCAGCAGGTCTGGGAGTGTGACTGGATGGTAGAATCCTACTTACTCTGCATCAGTGAGTCATGGGTTTCATTCCCAAATTGGGGAAAAGGGGCAGAAGGAGGGGAGGGAGCACACAGACAGCATCTATGGAGCTGTTTCCTTCCTTCACAGGCTACACCCCCTTAGCTGTTGGTTACAGAGCTGGATCCTGAATAAGAAAAAGAAATGTGTTAGTATGTTTGCACAGAGAGCTGAAACACCAAAGCCAAAGTAAGGAATGGACTGCAGGCCCCAGAGGTGTGTCTAATCAGGATCCAAGCTGGAGCCACAAAGGTCTTGTTTTTATACTTAGTTTGCATAATAATAAAAGGACTATGTTATGACAGCCGACAAGTAGTACATCTTTTGTCTGGAATGATTGACACCAGACATGTTTCAGATTATAAAGGATTTTAGATCTTGGAATATTTACAGACATTTTACCATCTGGATCAGAAAATATTAAATCTAAAATGATTTAAAATGCAAAACTTAGGAGCATTGTTTAGACTTAAGTTTCACATTTTGAGATTTCCAATTAGGAATGCCCAGCCTGTATAAGAAAGGTGTTTGTGTGACTCTTTTTCCTCTGTTGGTTATATGTCATGCTAAAAACACCCCCTTTCTCTCTGATCCTTTGTGCTTTGATTACTGAAGATTCCACAGAGCACAATGCTCCATTAGTGTGGTCCTCTGAACTGACAGGGTAGAGGACAGTGCTTTTGCATGTGGTTGTGCAAGGGTGTGTGCTTGGCGACAGTGGCTGGGTGGCAAGTGTGAACCCAGTGTGGTGAAGCACAGTTTGGGGGAAGATTTTAAATAAGTCATGTTTTAAACAGATGTAGTTAAGGGATCTAAAATCAGGTTTGTAAGACGTAAGTGATGGTGATGAGATAGATGGAGATCTAAGCCTGGGCGACCACCCTGTCTTTTTTGTATGGGTTCTGGTGATCAAACTCAGTTCCTCTTGAAAGCAGTAGTCTAGATTCCAGGACCCCTACTCGCCTGTGTGTTTGTATCTGCAAGTTAACCTGAACACAAGTCTATGGCTGGGTGGGGAATCTATACTGCTGACACCAAGTAACTAAAGCATTTGTCAAGGCTCAGCCACCAATCTCAAGGACATTTTGGGTGTGTGGATATAGCTCTGTGACCACTGGACTTCTGTGTGACTCAACGGGGCCTCATTTGGACTGGATGAAGAGGTTGTAGACTGAGCAACTGCTGTAGACATCGTTAGAAGCCTGTCTCCTCACTAAGTGCCCAAAAGAATCAACAGACTTTGAGGTACTATTTGATGTTTTCAAAAGGAGTCCTTAGAGCCCCCAAAGAAATAAACTTCCTCTCTTCTTTGACTGGTTGCAGAAGGATGCTGAGTTCTTTCCGAACAGGAGCTCAGCCATTCTCCTGGCATCCCTGACACTGGGGGTAGCAGAGGAGGATGTCCCATTGTGATACCCCAGGAAGCAGCAAGGGCTTCAGAAGAGAACCAGTTCCTTCAGCCACCCTTGCTCACTGCTGGTGCACTGTGCCCATTGAATGACTGCGGGAAATGAGGCCACACCGAAAACTCACTGTACATGACTCTTCTCTGCACGTCAGGGAGATCTAAACTTTGGGTGAAATCAAAGAGGCTACAAGACCAGAGCTCTAGGATGAAAAGGTTCCTGAAAGTCAAAATACAAAGATCAGAACTTGGCAGTGTGTAGAGGAGATGAGTGTTTCCCACAAAGGAAACAAAGCAGGAGAGTGTGGAAGAAGAGCTGCCCTCAAGAGCAGTAACTCACCGTCAGCCAGGATTTCCCTCAGATCCTTTGCTGTAGCTAAGCAGAGACGAGGAGGGACATTTTCAACTAACATGGGGCTGAAGAACAAGACAGGGATTGGGGAATATGGCATAAATCAAAAATAAAAGCTTCTCTCTGAATTTGTTGAGTGTTACCAACTTTTGTCTAACTTTAAGAAAAACACCCACCCTGCCGGTAATCCTAGGGAAGAAGGTGAACCTAGGGAGTTGATTGGTCTTCCTCTGTGGCTGTTCTCTCAGGTGGAAGCGTCCCCTGAGAGATGAGTGAGGTGGTCAGGCTGTGTCTTACCTGACAGATGGCACTCGGTGACTTCGGACTCAATGCGGATGGAAGGCAGAATGAACTTCCTGTTTCTCTTCCTAACATGCCACGTTCCACCAGCACTGACAGGAGAAGGGAAGGTAAAGATGAGGGCAGCATACATGTACACTTTACTATGCACCCAGCCCTGTGGGAACCTACTGGTAAACACGCCAGCTTTTGTGGTGGTGGTGCTGCAGGTTGAGCCCAGGGCCTGGTACGTGCTGAGCGAGCACTCTATCACTGAGCCACATCAGTGATCCACTAAGTAATGAAGGTTGCCTTGAACTCACTCTGTGGCCCAGGCAAGCCTACAGCTTGTGATCCGCCTGCACCAGCCTCCGGATTAAGCCACCAGGGTGTTGTTTCTTCTGTGAGGTAAATGAGGGATGAGAAAATGACATGTCTTCCCCAGTACTCCCCTGGGGCCCAAATGTTAACATAGGCGTTCGGTCTTGAGTTTTCATTCACACTGCTTAGAGGCAGGAAGGGGGGAGACTAAACATGATGTGTGCCTGCCATCACTCTGGATACTTTGAGCATCGTCTTGATGCTTCTGGGGGTTTAGGGTGGGAGGGGCACATGTTTATAGCCTATTTTCTTCCAAAATGCCCCACAAATCGCTATAGTTGTTCATCAGAAATAGATATGATTTCAAAGAGGTATTTTAATATACAGTTTTAAATTAAATAAACTTTTGTTCATATAATCTGTCATCTAATCTAGCATAGAATGTATATAATAGCAGTAACGAACACATCTTAATCTACATTATATTGGACTTATTCTGCATTCCTAATTGTCTTTCTTCAATGATTCTAAATATATAAATAGTTTTGTATCTAATATTACAAACATTCCCTGTGACTTTATGAGGGATTCATAACTGATTTTGAGACAGAAATGTTTTTATAAATATTAATTATAGTTCTGGTTTTCTAATCACGGAATGTGGAAATCCAGTATTAATTTTGAAGACATCTGTGGTAGATCTTGGTTATAGAACAATACCGAAGAGCCAGAGCTCACTTTCTGAGACCGTCTTTGATCATTTTGCTTGGCAGGGATATACCGAACAGAGAGGGATAAAGGCACTTTGTATGAGCTCACCTTCAAAGGGGACCACAACCATGAATTTCAGCGCCTTGTCCTGTTTCGGCCCTTCGGCCCCATCATGAAAGTGAAGAAGGAGAAGCTCAACATGGCCAACACGCTGATCAATGTTATCGTGCCCCTGGCGAGGAGGGTGGACAAGTTCCGGCACTTCATGCAGAACTTCAGGTTTGTTTGTTTTGCAGGGAGCCCTGCTCATTTCCTGCCATCGCCTTCCTTTCCCCTGCCGTGTGCAAAGCCTCCTTCTCTTCCCTTCCACTCAGTTTTCTTCATACAAAGTTTGCCGTTCATATTTGCCTTTCCCTAAAGCAATTAGAAAATGCTTGCTTAAGTGTGCTTTCCTTCGAGGGAACGTCTAGGAAGGATGGGCGGTCAACAGCCCTGCGCAAGTTACCCTCCTTCTGACTGGGTAAACCATTGCTGTGTGTGTGACCTTCAGTTTTGACTGGGTAAACCAACGCTGCATATGTCGCCTTCAGTTCTGACTTGAACCTGGGCTCCCCAGACAAAAGCGAGATTCTCAGAGGCCAATAAATGAGGTTCCAAATCATCAGGAACAGGCAGGAGCTGGCTGGTGGTGACGAAACTCACATCAGTGACAACTGAAGGAGAGCGAGGCCCTGGCTCAGCAGAAGATTGGCTTCATTTGCTGTCCCGCGTCTGGAGCAGATTGAATCACAGCCTATTTCCTGTTCTAAGCTGTATGCCCGAAGGGACTGGACTTAAAACTGTGGCAGGAGGGCTGCAGAGACTCATCTTTATGGGCGCTCAGCAGACCTTTATCCCAGGGTGCACTGGCAGAGTTGGTGTGTACATGACAAGAAACCCTCTACCCTCTACCAGGCAACAGTGGGTCTCGTCGTTTATGCGTGGAACCCACATATAGGCCAAGTTTAGCTAGCTACAATGATTTAGTTACCTTGATTTTTAAAAACCAGCTTATTTTATCCAATTACAACTCTTGAAAGATTTAGCTGATTTTTTAAATCTCTTTTCGTTAAGTTCACAGTATTAAAAAGTCAGTGGAGTTCAGTAGAAGAATGGTTGGTAGCTCTCAAAATCCAAGCTCAAGAGCACAAGAGGGATCCTTTTGTAATTAAGTTGCTTGTATCAGGGTCAAATCATCTTTGAAGAGACCGCTGAAGTCACCCGCTAATGGAAGACGGAAACTGTCTCTGAGAGCCAGGGACTGAAAGGGTAGTGCGCACAAAGACAGATTCTTAGAGCAGGAGGGAACGGGCAGAGACTGTGTGAGGTGTCAGCTGAGCAGCCAAGAGCTTCTGAGTATATGCGGGCTCTGACAAAGTGGAATGTAAGATCAGGAGCACCTAGGGTATTTCATTCTCTGTAGGAACATGGTAAAAAAGATTATTTTCAAATCACAGTCAATGGAGATTCTGCAAAGCATAGTTCTAGAACAAATCACCAAGCATAGATGGAAAAAGTAATTCTTTTTCAGACCTTAATTCTGGCCAGTTAAACCAAAGGAATATCCTGTGAGACCCAAAACCATCCAGGCAGTCACCAAGACAATAGGCTGGTCACTTGTCACAAACTGATGGCGAGGCCCCGTTGCTGAAGATAACACCTACACAGCTCTCTGAACATGGAGAAGTTGAGCTGGCATCTGCCTGGAGCCTTCATCCCCGCATGCTAGCCTCTTTGATACAGGACAGTACTCTGCACATTAGCAAAAGAGAAATTTAAATATCAAACTATATAAACTTTTAGATCTATAACAGCATCCTACCTGCAAGACATGGTAGGGCCTACCTGCAAGGCATGGTAGGGCAATGGGGGCACAAAGTTTGTGAAGTCATCAGCTAACATCTGGTGTGACTGAAGGCCCTCTTTAAGAGATGAAATCCATACACTGCTTGGGTGACCAAGAATCTGAGACTAAATAGCTCAGGGACATAGGGTAAAACTAAATACTACTCTTCAAAGAAAAATATATCAATCAAATGACTTCTAATGACATCCTGCTATCCTCAGAGATCAGTGCCTTGCTCAGCCATCATCAGAGGTGCTTCCTTCTGCAGCAGATGGGGACAAAGACAGAGCTCAACAGCCAGACATTACGCAGAGAGCAAGAGATCGTGGACACTCATCCCTAAAGGGAATATCAAATCTCTGTTCTCAGGGTTCAGGGAGCCTATGGAGAGGAGGCAGGAAGACTGTAAAAGCTATAAGAGGGTGTGGAAGACAGGAAGAAACAGGGCCCTCTACGTCAGCATATGAACCCACAGAGACTGCAGTAGCGTGTACAGGGCCTACAGGCATCTGCACTGGTTGGAGTCCTATCGCTAAAAAGAGCAGTGGTCACATTCTTCCATCCCTAACCTGATTGAAAACCACTTGTACATGAAAATTTAGTTTTCCACAAAGGGACTCTCACTAGGGAAACAAACTACTCTTAAGGGCGGGCTGTATGCTCAGATATAGATGCCAACAGGAAATGAACTCAACCAATAGCTCCGGAGGTTCCTTGTCTCATAATGTTGTGTCATCAGGGTCCTTCCTTTTTTAAAAAAAAGAAAGTTATTTTTAAAAATATTTTATATTCGTTTTTATTATTTCTATATTTTTTCTCTCCTTTTACCCTATAGGTCTTTTGCATATATATTATGATATTCAGTTTAGTGTTTTTAATGGGATTTCTGATTATGTAATGGTTGGGTCTTTATTTCTTGTGCCTTTTCTTGGGCTCTTTTCCCTGGATTTGTTTGTTTTGTCCAATTCAATGTGTTAGCTTTGCTTTACCTGCTCTGCTCTGCCCTGCTCTGTTCTGTGCTGTTCTATAGAAGACTGTCTTCTAATGAGAGGCGGAAAGGGGGCTGATCTGGATAGGAGAAGGGAGTAGTAGAGGGAGATGTTAGTAAACGGAAACAGGGGAGCAGAGGAAGGGGAACTGTAATCAGAATGTTTACATGAGAAAAAATGATTTTTTTTCAATAAAAGGGTGGAAAACTCTGGCCAATTAAATGTTTAGACACAATTATTTTGACCATTAAATTACCGGGAGACCATGTAGGGACTATTTATTAATGTTGGCTGTTGCTATGGTATCCTTTCCAACTTTAACCTGGAGCATGTCAACTCTGGTCGACACTGAAGAATGTACTGTGGGTGATTTTCTCCCCTTTGCCTGTTGTGTACATTACCTCGAGACTACCCAACATTTTATAGTTTGTTTTAAAATCCAGGGCTAGGGGAAGGCTTATAGATAAAAAACCAAAATCTTCCTGCACAGGCTTGATTGCCTGAGTTCACTCCTGGAGTCCTCACAATGGTGGAGGCAAAGGACAAAGTCCACGGAGACGTCCTCTGCCCTATCCACTCTGTCTACGGTGAGCACAACCACATATATTATGTCTATGCACATAATAGCATGGAATAACATTGTTTAAAAATTCAATGGAAGATCATCTTGGAGTTTCTAATTTATAATGGAGAGTTAGCTTATAGAAGTGATCACTTGCTTAGTACAAGATGTTTGAGTAATGTAGAACAAAACAAGGATAGATTATTTTAAAAGCAACCCACAGGTAAACATTATTTACATTAATTTAATACCATTTCACATGACCTTTCTTGACATACATTTGATGGAAATGATAGCTCGCTGGCTATGAATAGTTTCATACTGCATGAGATATCTTATGTGTTGCATTTCTAATGAATTAAAATTTACCTCCTTACATCATTTGTAGTAAAACCTGAGTATGCTAGAAGACACTGCCAAGCTTCTAGTAAATGCGCTTCACTCTGAAGAGATAGCAATTCATAAGAGATCTTTCTCATGCCGAGAAAGTTACACACAGAACAAATCATGATTCGAATTTTAAAGTCCTTTAATCATATTTTAGTATCACCCAGAATTGTCTAAAGAATCACAGTAGGAAAAGAGAGTCCACGCATTCCGTATGCTTTCCTTCCTCCATGATTCCTCCACATTCTAAGATTAGTCGCCAATGTTTTTACCTAGTTGGGGGATGTCATTCTTAGTTTATATTTTTCAAAAGGCGAATTCTGTATTTAGATAGATTTGTTGCATTTATCTAGTTTTCTTAAAATAACACCCCCATCCCTCAGTTCTTGGTTGTGTTTAATGGGTAAGAAACACAAAGACAACCATAAATGCTTTAATGCAGACTGTCTTTGTAATGCTAACAGGACAGGTTGGCTGGGCTTAAGGGCTTGGATTACACTTTACTGAGGATTTTATAGGCTTTCTTTTCACATTGAATGCTGCCATGGAAATGTATTAAGAATCTTTATCTCCCTTAAAAGTAACTTTTGCATCAAGGCCAGAAGAATCCCTCTAGGGATTCTTGAATTGAATCATAGTAACTTAATCAGGAAATATCTCCTCTTGGTATTGAGTGTTCTCTAGCCATCTGCCTGGGATATAGTTGCTATGTTATCTTATGAACTCTTTTGTGTTAAGGCTGTGATGATGGTTTGAATGAGAATGACCTCCATAGATTCATGTATTTGAATGTTTGGTCCCCAGTTGATGGAACTGTTTGGTAAGAATTGGGATGTTGTACCCTAGTTAGAGGAGGTCATAGAGGTGGGTTCTGAGGTTTCAGAAAGCTAGATTATTGCCAGACCCCTCTCCCTCTCTCTCCCTCCCTCTGTCCTTCTGTCTGTCAGTCCATCCCTCCATCCTAACCTCCCTCCTGCATGCCTATGGATCAGGATGTAAGCTCTCAGCTACTGCTCCATGCCTGCCTGCTGCCATGTTCCCCGTCATGATGATCAAGGACTCTAACTTTCTTGAATCATGGTCCCCCATAAACTCTTTCTTTTATAAGCTGCCTGATCGTGGTGTCTCTTCATAGCAATAGGAAATAACTGATAAAAAGGTTTTATGGTTGATGGATGACTTGTTCACTTCTGTGCTACATGGGCACAAATTGTCTATTTCATAAATTGTTTCCATTTATTGACATATTTATTTTCCTGTGCATATGTGTTGTGTGTTTGTGGCATATGTGTATATTGTCTACGTATGTATGTGTGTATGACATATGATTGTGTGTTGTATGTGTATGATGTGTTTGTATATGGTGTGAATGTTATGTGCATATGATGTGTGTGTGGTACATTCATGTGAGTGCCAGAACACAGGCCCATGTGAGTACATGCAGAGACCAGAGTAG